GTGACAAGATGAAAGCCAGGTATGATAAGGCGATGAATTCCGAGGGTTTCCAGGAAGGAGATTTGGTGTTGCTGTATAATCCACAACGAAAGAAAGGTTTGTCCCCAAAACTACAATGCAACTGGGAAGGTCCGTATAAGGTCGTAAAACGGCTAAATGACGTAGTGTATCGGATCCAGACCGTCGGGAGACCAAGAAACAAGATGAAGGTGGTCCACTTGGAAAGGCTTGCAGCGTTTGGAAACGCAAGTGTGTCTGATCGGGACGATCAGACTTAGGTGGAGGGCAGTGTGGCGAATACTGCGGCAACACAAAGCGAACAACGAGAAATAGGCAGAATGTTCGAAGAATGACGTAGAATGTTCCACAAAGAGAAACGTCAAGTTGGATGAACACTGCGAACAGCGAGAGAAAGAGAATGAGCGATAAACTTCAGAATGTTCTAGAGTTGCCATAAGTGCCAGCGCAGGTATATAAGGGCGCCGCCACCACGAGGTGAGTGAGTTACAAGTCAGCAAGCTACAAGTAAAGTGAGCGGAGAATCGAGTTGCGAATAAGCAAGCTATAAGATTAATTGTGTTAACAAGTAGTAAAGCGTTGTTATTGCTTTAACAAGTATTGTAAAGTGTTTTTACTGTATTAGCAAGAATTGTAAATTGTTTGTTGTACAATAAAGTTAATTGTACTACAATTCGGTCATCGTTAGCATTTATTTAACAATCCAGCGATACGAGCCCGAGTATATTTGGGTAATCCCTCAAGGTTTCGAGGATAATCGTAACAATATGTTAAGCAAAAGATGTCACCAAAAAGCAGTCAACGATCGTCAAGTAATGAGCTAAAAAATAAGGAGAGTGTGAAAATAGCTGTCTACAGAGAAGCAAATGATAAGAATTATAAGCGGCGCTCAATACAATTGATGGAGCACTTGAAAGACTAGTTGCTTCGTGAATTGGCTGCGAAAAGTGCACGATCAAAAAGAAGGGAGTGAATATAAACAAAAAACGACAAAGAGTAATCAACTAAAAATTTAACACTCAGTAGTAACAATAACAAATAGTTGTGGTGAATGGAGCGCAATGAGGTGTGGGGCTTGCCATTGTGATATGTATGATTACTGACACTTGTTACAACACCTATGTATAGTACATACATACATACATTCATAAGAGTACAAAGCGAATGTCAATTAGAGTTAGAAAACCGAGTACATACATATGTAGGTACAAACATACAAACTATTCCCACCAAACAATTTGTGTTGCCAGCAATAAGAAAACGTGTCGCCCTCGGAAAAAAATTTATTGCCGGTAATATTGCCATCGAATCGATTTTCTATTACCGGTCGCTCTAAAACGTCCGCCCAAGGCAACTCGTCTGGGCGAGTCGTTTTCTTATTACCTGAGTGAGTCCTTTTCTTATCGCTTCAGGCGATTTTTGGAATAATTTTATTCTTTTTAATACTTCATTTATTTTTTTGTACCAAATTGCAACTTACAATCGGAATTAATTCATTTTCTCGCTGTGCGACTTTCTACTTTTTCAATCTTGTGCATAATTTAGATGCTTTTGGCCAATACTATTGACGCCATATTCATAAGTTTCGGAATTTTTGAGAACTTTTTTTATTCAAAATTGACATGAACGAAGTGATGTTGCCGATTTGTCACCACAGCAATAAATCGGTGAGTCGCCAATTTGTTGCCATTGACGATTGTTGCCTATTTCTCATGTTTTGCATGGTGGGTTGTATGTAGATCACTTGCGCGTACGCTATACGACGGATGGAGCAAATGTTCTAAATAAGAGCAGATACAAATATGCTTACACACATACATACATAAAATTAAAAAATAACAATTCCCTCTGGGAAAATAATAGGTTTGTATAGAACTTCTCCAGTAAAACATTGCAGCCAGAGCGTAAAAGCAAAATAGAGCGTAAAATTGACAAGAAGAGAAAACTAGCAGAAAAAGATACTGAAGGCAAAACTGGTAAAAACTTGCAAGTGAATAGTTGTTGCACCCTTTTGATATTCTGCTGTAAACATTTTACTATTTATTAATCAGTTTTCAACTCTTTGCTTTTCACACAAGCACTTACACAGTCTAATACATCATTAATATTTTGATTTCCACTCATTTTACTTTTGTTTGTGCTAAACCAATACAACAAATGGCGGCTTTTGACATTTATTCTTCTTCTTCTTCTGCTAGCTAATTTCTGCTAGTAAAAATTTCACTAGCAATAATTTGCAGCTCTCCCGTGTTATTACGCTCTTGATTCAGTGCTCTCTTGCAAATTTTTTGGGTTATCATACACTTTTCCAGTAAAAATTTGCAGGTTCCAGTACAAATTAGTACTGACTATTGGTTACTATACAAACCTAATGTTTTCCTTTAGCTTTTAGTACCAAAAATTGTCATCATGACCAATGTCATCCATTAGTATAGCATGAAATTGCAAAATGACTACTCCGAGTGGCTCTGCTCTACATTCTACGTACCTTGGTACAGCGGCTCAGAAGTATGTCTGATACCAACTGCGCTTTGTTGAAGTAAGGGAGATTCGGCAGGGAAGTAGTAAGGACCACCGGGTGAAGTGTAAGTTGGTGGTAAGGCATTATTACGTGCTCCTGTTTCCTATTTCGCACACATAAAAAAAAAAATATTTCACATTTTTGCGTATTATTAGGCCAAGCTTATATTCCAATTTGTGATGTGCTTCTTGGGTTTGTCACAGAAATAGGGGAATCTACAGTTTTATGCTACCTCCCAAAGGCAAATTGTTTTGGTGAGACACTTTTTGATAGCAGAAGTACACTCTTAGGTTTTCTATTGCCGCCCGGCAGCTGTGAAAAACAAACAAGCCAATCATTTTTTGATACTTTGAAGAACAGTGGTCAAACCTGAGCTCATCTGTGTATAGATATGGATGGGGCTTGTCAGTACTTTCAAATGTACGAGCATTGGAGTAAATCCAAAATTAAGTAATAGTAATAGTTTATTATGTGGTCGGGAGCGGATCTATCACATGCAGGCCTTATGAGAAGAGGCGGTAGATATTAAAAGTTCTTTTTACACAAAAATAACGCGTAGCTCGAATCATACTTTAGAGATGAAGAATAGGAAGTGTTACAAAAATTTTACGTTTATTAAAGAAGTTTTGTCTGGCCGGTAGGCCGGATCGCTAATGGTCGGGTTAGTATCGGGGAGAAAAACAAAGAGTGCGCAACGAACAAATGGTCCGTCATCTCTATATGCGATGGTGTGGTTAGAGATCTTAATTATGGGTCGCTGATACACTTTTCAAGCACCCTATATAAGTAAACTCAAACAAAACATCCATGGTATTTCGGTGCTTACAGGAATTAAGTTTTGTTATGAATTCATAGAGGCTCTCTAGAGAGGATTGGTTTCTTACCAGTCAATTTTAATGGCTCCAATACCTATGTACTGCCTCCTTATATACTTCGCTCGCAGCTTTTTGCGGGAAGGTGCAAATAATACTGAATATTTGTTTGTATTCCGGCAAACTGAAAAGATGATGTACTTATATTAGAGCGAATTTCCGATTTGGCTTTAGGGATTACTTTGTCTTTCGAGAGTGTCCCCAAACCAAATTCGGAAGTATTAAATATAAGGAAACTGATATTTTTCCGCTTAAAATTAATTAAATTGACTAATTTTTAATATTTTTATTGAGCTTTGTACCACGATTGTTTATTAGGA